CGACGTGGCGCTGTCCTAGTGAGTCCGTCAGCTGCTTGCTAAGACTTTGTGAGGCATAAAATTTTGTAATAAAACCTGTGAAGGTGTTTGAGAGGGGGTGGGTTATGTCTCATTTTTGCTATCCTTAACATCTAATTCGGAATTAAATACAGAATCAATGCATTTTATGTGCATAAATTTTTCAAGAAGCTAAGGTTTAGGTAAGATGATCAAGGATGATTTTTTTTTTTTTACAATTTGGATTCTTAAAGTTTAGAGGAACTTGCAGAACCTCCGCTGAGTTTGCTTTCACTGACAAAAAGCCATTTAAGGCAGTTTGTGCATTTTCCGACAGGCTGCTGTATGCCCTCAAGACAAGCTGTGGGTGCACTTTTATGAAAACCATCTAGACAGTGACATATTACATGTATCATATTATGATGAGTCACATGACTCTCAAAACAAAAGTAACCAGAGGACTAAAGCCTATCAAAGCCATCTTTTTTGTTTTTGTGCAATGAGAGTCTTTTAAAATTTGCCAGTGAATTCATGCAAGTATGGGAAGCAGATGTAGCCTTGCGTCTTTGGCTGCGTTAGCTCAGCCGTCAAAGTCTTATTTCTAGCTCTGACTGCGGATGTCTCGTTGATCATTTATTAGTCTCCTTTGACCCTTGGTTCAACAGCAGCGGACTATGGACCAGAGAGAGAGTCCGGGGCTAAGGCGCTGGCATTGCAGGCTTAGGATTCTGGCTCAATCCCTGCCGCCACCACGTGTGCTCCCTGGAGCACTGCAGGGATCCCTGAGCTTAGAGCCAGGAGTCAGCCCCGAGCACTGCCGGGTAAGGCCTTCAAACCAAATGCAAAACAACCCCCCGCTAGAAGGAAGAGCGTGGAATTGGAAAACCCCCTCCAAGTAAAATTTTTGAAAAAGACTCTAAAATGCAACTGAATTTAAGCGATTCACTTGACTTGTAGGAGCCTTGCTCCATCAGCCTGACAGATAAAAATGAAACGTGGGATGTGTTGAAGAGCTCATTAAATCCACACAGGAAGTCCTCTCTTGATAAGCGTTCATCTCACTTTAAATTTCTGTCGTGTGTAGAGTTTCTGTGTACTGCCCGTGGTGTTCCCATGTTTGATAACCGGCTGTGCCGATGTGCAAGTGGGATTTGTGAAAATGTTAAAAGATCGAAAACAAAACTAGAAAGACGACGGTGAACGCCCTCTGTTCTTCCCTGCATTTTTCCTTTCCTTCTCACAAAATGGCCCGTAGGCCTCCCCAGGCCAGGGGACAACTGTCTGCCCAGGTGTCCGCCAAGTCATCACCACTTCCCCGTGCCTTGCCTCAGTCTTCTGGGTGACTCAGGCTGGATTCCCTAGAGAGAGCCCAGGTTCTTTCTAATGCTCACTCGAGGACCTTGACATTTAAGGCACCAATGGGACATTTATTCCAAATGCGCTAGATTGACCTGCATTTCAGTGCCGGTAAGGCTGAAATTCGGTCCACATCACTCTTCACAGCTTTTCTTATCTGAATGGAAGGCCAGAAAATGGGCTTGGCTTGATCTCTGAGTTCATGGCGATTCAATTTCAGTTGCTCTGGGTCACCTTTCCTTTCTCCTGGCGGTAAACCACTTTTCTTTCTCAGAGCCTGGTTGTAATACCACTTCCTCTTTTCTTCCTTAATTAATTGCTTTCACTGTCATTTTCTTTTACCTTGAATATGCTTTTGATCATAGTTTATGGATTTATAGTCTGTCTTTCATGCTGAGATTGGAACCCCGTGCTGTTACGTGAGTGATTGTAACGTAATGCCGTGCTCAGTGACTTTTTCCCGTGAGCAGTGCTGTCTGGGGCATTGGAGGCAGACTCATACCTTCTTTGATTCATTTTTATATATGCTTTTCACTCTCTGTCTCTGGCTTACTCGGGCTGTTACCCTCAGGAATCTCATTATGCTGGGAGCCATATGTGATAACGTTATAATCGATACCTCATTGCTTCAATTTGCTTTTCTTTAGTGGGGATGAATATTTTCCACGCTGATGGCCAGTTTTCCCTTTAGTTTTGTGAGCTGTTCCTCCCTTTCCTATTGTGTCGGTTGGGATACTCCTTTCTCTGTAGGATTCATAGGTGGGCTTGAGGGCAGCAGTTTTCAGCCCTTTTGCAGCTACAGGTACTTTGTACCACAGCACTTAGAGTGTGGTCTCTGGGGTGCCACAGCCAATGTGCAGGGTCTGGAGCTGGGCGCCTTCCCTCATCCAGTATCTCCACAGCCAGCGTTAGTGACCTCTCTGCCCACCACCAACAACATAGCAGCAACAGAAGGAAGAGAAAGGGGACATTTCTTTTTTTTTGAGGATGGTACAGCAATATCTTTTCAAAATGTTTTAATTAAAGAGCCATTATTTATAAAGCTCCTGATAGTTGAGTTTTAGGCATATAATAATTCACCATCAATCCCTCCACCAGTGTCCGCTTCCCTCCATCAGGGTTCCCAGATTCCCCTCTTGACCCCAACCTCCACTCCCACCTGTCACCTTGACAGGCACATTACCAAGTGCCATAGTTACCGCTTGGATCTCCTGTTTTCAGTTCTGTGGAGTCTGTCTGAATACATGGCTCCTCCCCTCACTCATATCACAGCTATCACCAAAGCCCTGAAGCCCGTTCACCCATTACTTCTTGTTTTCTTCCTCCACCCCCAGCCATGCCCACCCTTGATTTCTTTCCTTCCCTGTCTGTCGCCTCTCTAAACACTGGGGTCAAGGGTGATCGAGGCACCCTCCCTTTGACTAGAGGACATTTCCTCGTCCAGTATTCTATTTTCCACAGGTAAGTGAGACCATCCTGTGTTTGTCTTTCTTCTGGCTTACTTGATTCAACGTGGTATCTTGCAGTTTCGGCTATGTTGCAGCAAATCTCATGATTTCATTCGTCCTTGCAGCTGGTAGCATTCCAGTTTATCTTTCATAATCCTTTTATCTTTCGTTGAATACCTAGGCTAACTCAATATCTTAGCTATTTTACTGAGTACAATGACGAATACTGGTGTACAGATGTCCTTTTGCGTGAGTGTTTTTATGTCCTAGCGGTAGATGCCCAAAAGTGGAATTGCAGGGTCATATGGCGGTTCAGTTCCACGTTTACTGGAAATTCTCCGTACAGTTTTCCACAGGGGCTTCACCAGACAACATTCCCACCAGCAGTGAAGGAGAATTCCTTTCTCACCACATCCCTGTCTACACAGGTCGTCTCCACTATTTTCGCTGTGTGCCTTTCTCACTGGTGTGAGATGTATCTCCTTGTCTCCTGGGTTTGGATCTCTCTGATGATAAGTGACGCTGAGCGTTTTGTCGCCTGTGAAAAGGGACGTTTCTAAAGGCCCAGTTTGCATCTTTCACCTTAGAGCGATGGCCCGGTTGGTTGGCCCTCCCCGCTCTCCCTCCCGCTCCTGCTCCTGGTCTGTCTCCTGCTGGAAGTCAAGCTCACTTCTGTGCTCCCACTAGTCAACCCACTAGTTTGCTCTTAGCATCTTTTCATAGGTTTTTTTTTTCCCATTTGCTTTACTTTGGTCTCGTTCTTTCTTTCTTACGGGAAGTGAAGTCCCACGCAGCTTCTCTTTACCCAGGACACGCTCGTGCCGCAGACTTGAAAGAGCCGAGCAGTTTCTGCTGTGCCGGCGTGTGGCGTTCTCTTGGTCGCGGAGTTGGTCAGTGGACGCTTTGGGAGTTCCAAGCCTGGGCTCTTGTTCATAGCCTTGTGACGGACACAGGAGCACGTGTTCCTCTTCCCAGTCATTTGTTTGCCTTGTTAGTGTCATCACCCAGACCTGGGCCATAGGGAATTTCTGGCTTTAATTTTTTCTTTTTTTTTTTTTAATTTCAAGTTGAAAATATTTATTTTTAAATTTTCTTTTGCGATTTTTATACATTTTATTTTCATAAAGTAGTTCACGGTAGTTCATTACAGATAATATTCAAACACCCACCCAACCAGCGAGCATCTTCCCACCACAATAAGAGGGATGTGTGTGAAGGTTATTGTATTTCATTCTGGGGCCATTTAAGCCTGTATACACAAGAACACAAGCAAGTATGTTAAAACCAAACACCTGCTCTAGGTACATCAGTGGGCTAGAGTATAAGAGGTCATTTGCGGCCCCGCACTCCAGGAAATACTGCCTCACTCTCCTCCGGGAGCTTTGTGTTACAGTCTCTGGGTCTTGGCCGTTGATGAGATTACGTGGCTCCAGCGGCAGTTTGTGGGTGTGACTGCCAAGCTGCTGGAAAGCTGGGGATCTGGGTGGAGGAGGCCCCGCCCTGATCCAAGCAGGCTTGGAGATCGATCTCAGCCCCGGGACCCGCACGCCTGGGTTCCTCTGCCGGTTCCTTCATGCGTGAGGCTCGTCTGAGAGGTGTGGGGGAGTGGCCTTGAGCGTGGCCTCAGCTGGGTCCTGGAGGTTTTCGGCTGCCAGGATTCTGTTTGGGGCGGGGAGGGAAACTGAACCCACTCCCCTCCGAGGGGCCCGGTGAAGACAGCCTGGCGCGGGGGCAGGAGATTCTGCCTCTGGCTTGAATTTTTCAAGCACTCTCCATGCCGCTTTTCCCAGTGACTTGCACTTATTTACATTTTCAGCACCAGTGTACAAGGATTCCCTGCTGGCTATAGCACTTGTTATTTAATCTTCTTTTTTGGAAAAAGTTGTTTTTTTTTTTTAAAAAAAAAAACTTGTGCTTTTATTTTTTTACAAATAGCTGACTTGAATATAAGCTATATCCTTAGTCATCACGCACGTCTGAGGGAGTTACCTGCATCATAGCTTATGAGTGACATGGAAGACAGGGAGAAGAGGGTCAGGATGAGCCGTCCTTTCAGCAGGGGGGCGAGCAGAGGATCTCTGTGGTGGGGAAATGGACCTTCTGGTGTCTTTGACATGGAGCCTCACGCCCACCAGATGCTGCTCCTCAGAACTGGCCAGGGCTGGGTTTCAAGTTTGTTCTTAAAATATTTCTTTCCAGTTAACAGAAGATGAAATTGCAACGATCCTGAAATCTACTTTGAAAGGACTCGAATATTTACACTTTATGAGAAAAATCCACAGAGATATCAAAGCAGGAAACATTCTCCTTAATACAGAAGGACACGCAAAATTGGCGGATTTTGGAGTGGCCGGTCAGCTCACGGTAAGTAGAAAAGTTTTGCAGACACTTGGGTTTTCTGTGTCTGGGCTTGCGTGTTGATTAGATTTGGTCCTTGGGGGAGAGGAAGGAGAGACGTGCATAATTTCGTTGTTCTTGCGGAGAAAGGGCCATGATTTTAGTATTAAGGGAAAAATTGGAGTCTTTGAATATGAAGCTGTTTCAAATGCTGCAAGGCCGCATCTCTTCACTTCTATAGGGTTTTTTTTTTTTTTTGATGAGTCCACTGCCTTTAATGACTGTATTCAATAACTTTGTGGAACAAATTTATTTGTGAGCTCCATAGTTGCCAGGTCAAAATTCCTAACTGTATTTTAACTTAGTTGCCATTTCTCAGGAAGCCAGTCAAGTGCAATCTGTAGTGTCTGAGGGTTTCAGCTGGAGGGTATGTGGGCAGGCAGATCTCTTTGGAGTTGTTGTGGCAGGACTGATGTTCGCTAACGAACTTTGCAGGATACGATGGCCAAGCGCAACACCGTTATCGGAACTCCGTTCTGGATGGCGCCGGAGGTCATCCAGGAAATAGGCTACAACTGTGTGGCAGATATCTGGTCTCTGGGCATCACGTCCATAGAGATGGCTGAAGGAAAACCTCCGTATGCCGATATACATCCCATGAGGGTAAGGGAACGGGGTGGGAGCGGGGGGCGCGTCAAGCTGGGGATGGGCTCTCCCCCAGAACTGAGGGGACCCCTGGAGTGGGAAGAGCGTTTGGTAGTGGGGTGGGGCGATGTGGGGATTCAAGGTTTGGGTGGTAACCTGGAAGAGGTGTAACGCTAGACCCCCAAAATGGTCAAGTTCTGGCCAACACCACGGTTGCTTCCATTTGAAGTGCAGTTTGCCAAGGATGCCCCCGTTTTCGCCGTCAGTGTACGGGGAAACGTAACTTTCCTTCGTTTTACTTTTAGGTTCTGTGTAAGAATCATAAAGCACCTATCAAAGAGTAAGCTTCTGTTCGTTAGCTTTTCTCCCCCCCCCCCCCGCCCCCCCGGAATGTAAAAATGAAACGAAACCGTGTGAAGCAGGGCTGTTCCTCCACACAGCCCCGTATCCCGCCTTTTGGAACAGCCTGGACGTGGGGCCTGGGCTTCTGGATAGAAGAGACGGGTGTAAATCCTCCCTGTTCCTTGGCTTAGTGTTTCCTGGGTGCGACTCGGGAGAAGCCGGAGGAGAGCTCGGCCGCCTCACACTCTCCCTTCTTCGGTGCTGGGCTGAGACGAGTGCTTGTGTGGGGGTGTGGGGGGGATCCAGGAGTCGCCTGTTGTCAAGTGGAGGGTCTCGGCTGTGCATCTGCCGTTCTTCCAGAATCCGCTCTCCCGAGTGTCTTGGTGCTGAGGGGTGGTCGCCCCCATCTCAGGGCGGTTCTCAGAGACTTCCCCGGGATCGGAACGTCTATCTCTGTAAATGTATTGCCCTCTAGTGGCTGTCGGCCAGGAAACTCAGGAAAAGAGTGTGTGGAGTTTGTGTGCGGAGAAGTGGGGGCAGGCCCCTGGGGAGGTGGGGGGCGGGGGGGGGTAAGTGGGGAGGAGCCAAGGGGGACCTGGAGCACCCAGCGGAATCCCATCACATCTTCAGAGCTGGTGCTCGCGTTGCTCTCATGACCCTGGGCAATACTTGCCAAGCATTTCTCTGGAAAATGCTTTCTCCCCTCCCCCCAACCTCCCCCTCCCTGCCTCCCACGGCCAGCCCCCTTCCTCTCTTCTTCTTCCATCTCTCTACTCCTCCTTCCAGCTAGCAGATCTTAAAAAAGCCTATCTAAATGGGACACTTTCTCGATTTAAACAAATGTTAATTGGATGGGCTGGAGCGATTGCACAGTGGTAGGGCATTTGCCTTGCAAGCGGCCAACATGGCCGACCCGAGTTCGATTCCTCCACCCCTCTCGAAGAGCCCGGCAAGCTACCGAGAGTACCTCGCCCACATGGCAGAGCCTGGCAAGCTCCCCGTGATACATTCGATATGCCAATCTCAGTAACAACAAGTCTCACAATGTTACTGGGCCCACTCAAGCAAATCGATGAACAATGGGAGGACCGTGACCATGACCGTGTTAATTGGACACTTCCCTTCCCCCCACCCGTCCGACCAACTGATCTAAGTTCTTCCCCTTCTCCAAGGCCCAGCTCAGACTTCCCTCGTGCCTTCCTCTCGGGTGCTGTCACTCTCTCCGTCTTGGCCTTTCGGTCTCTGTGATCGTTACTGGGGCGTTTGTGCACGATGAACTTCAAGTCTCGGGACAACGCCCCGATCCTGGTGTCAGAACCCATCTCCCCCAGTTTGGACCATCGCTGGAAGGCTCAAATTTTGCACTTGTGTGGGAAACTGGGAGTGCCGGTGAGAGGCCCCAACCGCTAGGTGCCAGGCCTGCGTGGACGTGGTGTGGCCCCAAGACTTTCTGGGCACTGTCCTGGGGGCACAGGGCTGAGAGCGCGCAGCCCTTCACGCACCTCAGACTCAGCGGTGCTGGGGAGGTGGGAGAAGGGGAAAGGCCACTCCCAGCTGAGGGCCTGCAGGAGCCGGGCCGGGCACCCGGCCTCAGTGGGCTGCGACCATCCAGATCTGGGATGTACTGAGGGGCTTCGTGGAGGGAAGGGGCTACAGGGACTTGAGGAAGCGCTGAGAGCTGTTTCCAGTGGGGGTGGGGTTCCGCTGATCGTGAAGCGAGAAAGCCGAGGGGATGGAACACTGTGATCAGTGAGTGACAGGAATGACTAGGAATAAATACGGACCTTCGAAATTTTCTAGGGTAGTAGGATAGGAAATGCAGACATTGAAAAAAAAATGAGTTTTTTTCTCACCATATTTTTTAGAGGGAAGGGGTTTTAAATTTTCGGCCACACCAGGCAGTGCTCAGGGGTTATTCTTAGTTCAGGGGTCACTCCTGGGTGCTGCTTAGAAATCATATGCGGTGCCAGGATCGGACTGGGGCTGGTTTGCAGGTAAGATGAGCAACTTATCTCTCCAGCCATGCTCCCCACCATTTTTGGTAGCCCCCCCCCAAATGCTCATTAGATATCAATCTACATAGCTGTCCCATGAGTGGTGATGTGATTGGTGGAAAGCTCAGATGGAGGCAAAGACTGTGGTTCTGATACCCACGGTGGGTGCTTCTGATTGCTGTGATGGGTACCTGTGTCGAATGGTGTGCCTAGTGTATGTGACAGGCGCTTCTGAGACCTGGGATGGAGACATCCGTCACACATAACGAAGGATACCCAGAAAGGGCGTCTGTTCTAGGTGACAGGTGATCCTTGTACCTGTGAATGGCTCTTCTCTGCTCTGTGGCAGGTGCTTCTGATCCCTACAGTGGCTTGTCCATGCTCCATAATGGGTGCTCCTGTCTGATAACTATTGTGGGCGTGTCTGTTCCATGTGAAGGTGCTTCTGATTCCTGTGGTGGGCACATCGATTCTGTGTTCAGGTGCTTCTGCTGCCTATGGTGTCTGCACAGAGTCACTCGTCTACACCTGGAAACTGAGCAGGGGGTGACGGCCAGCTCACTCCTAACTGCCCTGGCCTGAGGGGAAGTGAGGACTTGATCCAGTCTTTCGGAAAATTCCTTTGGCCATTCTCACAAGGTTCCAGACCTTTCCTTGCCGTGGGCTCTCTACACGTGGACAGAGACAGGCTGGCTCCTAGACCAAGGGTGTCCAGGCCCCAGACCTGCAGGACGCCCACCCTTGCTAAGAGCGAGAAAAGTAGCCAGAGCTGAGGTGACGAGAATGGACTTGCCCCTGAGCCATCGCAGGGTCACCTTGTGTTTGTGTGAGTGCAGCTCTTTGTAGTACATGTATTTTTAGTGTCATGGCTCACGGGCCATGAAGACCTTCACAAGGGCGCTGGATTTGAAACGTGGAAATGAGCCAGTAGGAATTTGGCAGCTCACTGGGAATGGGTCCTTGGGAGGTACCAAGGCCTGGACCACTTGTTCGATATGCCGCGGATTGATGCTGCCTTTAACTTTTGTTCGTTCGTTCGTTTGTGTTGGACCATACCTGGCGGTGCTCAGGACTTACTCTTGACTCTGTGCTCAGGAATCACTTGTGGCAGGGCTTGGGGGACCATTTGGGGTGCCAAAGATTGAACCCGGGTCTTCCACATACAAGGCAAGTGCCCTCCCCTCTATACTATTGCCCGTCCCCCTTTATTTGCTTTTTTGAGAGAGAATAAGAAGTATTTGGAATATCGGTATTCAAGGAGGAATTTTCTAATAAAGAGATGGCTTTGATGGTTTTGTTTGATGCCATGGGATATGCAAGATTCATCAGTTTTGATATTTATATTATTTGTTATATTTGAAAGAGACACTGCATGAAAACCAAATTTTCATCATAGTAGCACTGTAGCACTGTCCTCCCGTTGTTCATCGATTTGCTCGAGCGGGCACCAGTAACATCTCCATTGTGAGACTTGTTGTGACTGTTTTTGGCATATCGAATATGCCATGGGGAGCTTGCCAGGCTTTGCCATGCGGGCGAGGTATTCTCGGTAGCTTGCCGGGCTCTCCGAGAGGGGCGGAGGAATCGAACCCAGGTCCGCCGAGTGCAAAGCAAACACCCTACCTGCTGTACTATTTCTCCACCCCCTTCGTCATAGTAAATAGCGTTGAATACCTAATAAAGAATAACAATGAATATACATTAAAACAGGAGAGGAGTGTAAATGTGCTTATGATTTACATGCAGGTATTCGGTTGAAAGTAATGAGTGATGATAAAGGGAGGTAAGTCTCTCAACTATTAGGTGAAACAAATCTTATGAAAACTAAGGTTTTGTAAAATGTTGAATATGTAACCACTGGATTTTTTTTTTCTTGGTTAGTTAAATAAATCAAGGATTAATTTTGAATTCCATTAGCCTCCTCCTTCTGTGGAGACCAGTCTTTTTCTTTCTCAGTCTTAGAAACTAGGTATTTAAAGAACTAGGAAATGAGTGAATAGTACCATTTTCTTAAATCCCCATCACTGTAGCAAACTCAGTGCTTTTCACTTCACTGAGACGGTATCGATCCTGGTTCCCTTAGCTTGTTTCTGTGTGTAGAGATGTGTGGCTGCCTGGAGCAGCCTGGGGACCGCTAGCAAGGCCGGAGGCCCGGCCCTGCTGCAGGGAAGGCTGCGGCAGCGAGAGCTGGACCTTGGCGCAGCACTGCACCGCAGGCGTAGCACCTTCAGACCCTGAGGCGGATAAACGTTTAGTATGTTTTGGAGAGATGGACAGCAAATGTGGTGAGTCCATAGGGGGCTTTGGGTGGCCATTCCCTGGAACTCCGCCTTTGATACAGCTGAACAGTCTGCTTCAGAGTGGAGTGGGGGTTTTCAGGCCACAAAAGATCTCCCTGGGGGGATATCGGCGTCTGCTTTGTACCTCTGTCTTGTCTGTCTCCACACGCTTACTGGGAAGACACCGCGTGGTGATGCTGAGTGTGGAGGGGTTATCTGCACCGAAAGCTGTCTTTGGGAAAATGATGTCATCTCCTTTTCTTTCTCTGGAGGAGCCTTTCCCTGGGCAGCGAGCGAGCAGGACCACCACGTGGCGTGGGGCTGACTGGAGCCATGTGGGGCTGTTGGCTTACAGCCAGGGCTGGGTGCCTGGCACCTTCTGGCGTCCTTGGCACAGGCCGAG